GTTTGATTTAGCAAATAATAAATAAAATTTTGGGTGACAGGTATGTGGCACAGGGGAAAGGTATATTGCAGCCACATCACTTGATTGATGAGCTGGACAACATCATCGGTGATGACTCATCAAAGATAAAGCTCAGTGATGGCCCTTTTGGTGAAGTCTTAAAGTCTGCTCAGGTAATCAAATTATTTGTTGTTAGACAGAGATCTAACACTTAATTGGATCCATATGTAGTTAGATAAGATACATGATTCAACGGTTAAAACATTCGACGGGATGGTACCGTAACGGGACCGTAGCATTTTCATATATATTATATATATATATATATATTAAAAATATGACATATCATAGCATAAGTTGCATTTTTGTTTAAAAAAGAAAAAAAGTGTTTAATTAGTTTGATCATTTTCTCATCTATATATATAAAAAGATTTATCATTTTTTAAAAATAGCAAGTCAAATTTCTGGTCAAATGTAGACACATTAATTAGTTACTATTAATGGAAATGTTTTTCTAATGTTAATTTAATAACCCTTTAATCACGGACAACATTAATTGATTGCATATCATAGTTTGTTAATTTTTTAAACCATTTTGCCAAAAAAATACGGCGACTTCATTAAGATAAGATAAGATAATTTTTTTGGAAGCCCACAAAATCGCAAATTGACACGGTATGTTTTTTGTAAAAAATTCAAATCTGTTATGAGATCATTTTTTGGATACCATGGCAACAACAAAGTCTCCCATTACTTAAGAATATATTTGTTAATCATAAAATTTAAAGAAGTAAGAGATTCGAAGCACTAAATCTCCAAATGATATGTTTATTGGTGATTTGTAATAGCTATCTTTGTTGAACTAATTTACAAAACGATCCAATTTCTTATTTTAAAATAAAACTTTTTCTTTTATTTCTTTTAATCAAATCATATTTCCCCTTAAAACCAGCCAATCAGAAAGTTGAATATACACACGGTAACAACTTATAAAAAAGTAATAAGAAATACCATCATAATTCTCGGTATTATGTCATTATTTATTTTATATATAAGTGGTAAATTTTCTCTCAAAAAATTTATAATGTTTTTATTTAGGCTTATTATATTGTAGATACTTTTATATAATATTTTATCATGTCATATAAAAAATTTCTTTTAAACATGTTTTCTTTACAACAAAGTTTAGAAAACATCTTTCATACAAATGTAAAATTTAAATATTTTTGAACATGTTTTATTTCCAAAATAGTTTAAAAAAATTGTAGGTGACTTCACACCTTTTAATAATAATACATAAACTTTTACATACTTTTACATGTTTTTTAATAAAAGTTTTTAATATTTTAAACAGACAAACTTTATGTTCTCTTGTACAAGTTAATTTTATATTGTTGATAATAAACTGATATACGACGGTAAATTATATCACATGTTAACCCAACATCTTTAATTTATATATATATATATTGCTCTTATAAAATAGGATAATGGTTCCCCACCACTCGAACTTGAGACCTATTTATAATTATTAAACTGATATACGATGGTAAATTATATCACATATTAACCCCACATCTTTAATTTATATATTTTTTTTGCTATTTTAAATAGGATAATGGTTCCCCACCACTCGAACTCGAGACCTATTTATAATTATTATTTAATATAATTACCCGTGCATCGCACGAGGCTAGACACTAGTTTGAATTATTATAATTTTAATTTTGGCAGGAAGCAATAATTTTACCGCCATTTGTTGCGATAGCCATACGGCCGAGACCCGGAGTTTGGGAGTTTGTTAGAGTCAATGTATACGAACTCAGCGTTGAGGAGTTGACAGTATCTGAATATCTACGTTTTAAAGAAGATCTTGTAGACGGCCGGTGAGTAATTAATTAATTCTCCTAAGAATTTTCAACTATGAGGGAATATTTTCTCATGTTTTTACCTCTTTTTTTTTTTTTGCTTTGTGCTATATAGACATGAGGACCATTTTACGCTCGAGCTCGATTTCGAGCCATTCAACGCGACATTTCCCCGCCCGACTCGCTCTTCGTCCATCGGCAACGGTGTTCAATTTCTCAACCGCCATCTATCTTCGGTCATGTTCCGGAACAAAGAATCTCTCGAGCCGTTGCTCGATTTCCTTAGAGTCCACAGGCGTAAAGGACATGTGAATGCTCGAATTTACATGTGTTTATATTGTGATCTTTAATCAAGTTGTAATATCGAGTGACAAGATTGGTAATGGTAGGAAAATAGGGAGTTAGAGAGATCGATGATTCAGTTGAAGCTAAAACATTATCTCTTTTATTGGTAGGTTTTGATGTTGAATGACCGAATTCAACGAATCTCGAGGCTTGAGGCTCAACTGGCTAAGGCCGAGGATTATGTGTCTAATCTTCCGCTGGACACGCCTTACTCTGAGTTTGAATACACGTGAGT